GAGGAGCCTAATTACAACCTGCTGAGACCAATTATCTTTTGTAACTTTGTTGCTGTTTTCTCCGTCGATCTGCCCGGCGTTGCCTGGCATCCAGGACCACCTCCCTTGTCTCCTTGTCACTACTCCAAGGCCTGACGTCATGAGCTCTCACCGCTGCTTCATGCCTTTGTGGCCAACCAGCCTCTCTGTGCCCTGCTCGGAGTCGGAACCCCGTCCAGGGTCCTCCACCTCTTCCAGAGCCGACTCATAAGGCCCCTCGCTGTCGGAGTCTGTTTGCAGCTCCAACGGCTCCTGCTGGGCCACAACAGAAAATGATCCCCCCAAATGGTGATAAAATATTGGATGCAACAAAAAATAATCAGTAATGGCTATTTAACAAAGCAGAGATTCCCCCAAACCTCAGGCCGTGGTCCAGCAACTGGGCCACGATATGCCAGAAACCGGTCCGTGGAAACAAGTGAAGCCCCATTCAGGCAGCACGTGAAATCATGCCTTCTCCGGTCCATGGGAAAACCTCTCCATGTTTACAGTCACAAAATAAAAAGCAGACTAAAAAAGACACCACGAAATAGTAAGGACAGGAGGAGAACAGGGAAAACCCTGGGGAAAGTCACTAGAATAATAAAAGGAAACAACCCTGAAGAAAAGATACAGCAATCACAAAAACGGGGGAGAAGAAAACAGGGAAGAAGAAAAACAGGCAAGAAAAAGAAGAAATTAGAGCAAAGGGGGAGCAGAAGAAAAAGGAATTAAAAGTGGAATTTTTGAGAGCCCAAGAGAAAATGGCTAAAAGAGGAAGAAAGGGAAAAAGAGTTACATTAGTAGACTAAAGAGAATAGTAGTACAATTGTTATGGTTATCTTACTAATTAAGAAATAAAGAAATTACAGTATATTATTAAATGTAGAAAAAAACTGAAAGAAACGCTCTCTAGGTTTAAATTGAATTGGAGGATATAGGCTGTTTGTAGCAAATTTTATCAACGGAGAAAAACCTCTCTCCACGGAACCAGTCCCTGGTGCCCAAAAGTTTGGGGGCTGCCGAGTTAGGGAAGAAAAACAGTTTTTGTGTTGTGCAGAGAGTAAAGGATAAGATAGGTTTTTGTCTCAAAAGACTTGGAGTCTAATGGATATACCACAGAAGGAAAAAGGAAGAATGGATGCCTGGTGCCTCCTTTGCTTCACAGTGGCCTTGTGAATGGCTAGTTACAGATTTTGGTCAGATAGGTAAAGGTTCCCCTCACATATATGTGCCAGTCATTCCCGACTCTAGGGGGCGGTGAACAGAATGCTGTTACCTTCCCACCAAAGGTGGTTCCTATTTTCCTACTTGCATTTTTTAACGCGCTTTCGAACTGCTAGGTTGGCAGAAGCTGGGACAAGTAACGGGAGCTCACTCCGTTAAGTG